GCCATATCATTTGAGAGTAAAAGCACGAAGGGTGATGTCGTTCCATGTTATGTGAGTGTAAAGCACGAAGGGTGATGCATGCCATTTCATTTATATTATCATGAGTTCATGGCACGATGGGTGTTTCCGTGCAGGCGAGGACGAGGGACATGCATTATATTGTGATATCTTTTACTTGTGTATACTTTCATGCCTTTACATTGTGATATCTTTTACTTGTGTATACGTTCATGCCTTTACATTGAGCTGTTATTGTCGTACTTATGGTTCTTATATGACTTGTCGTTGTTGCCCTGTCCTTGTCCTCTATCTTAATTGTTATTGTGTTGCTCATGCCTTCTACTTGCTAAACTTGCAAATCCATGCCCACTTTCTGCTGTTATAATTACGTCTATGTCGTATCCATTTGTCGCACTTTAGTATAGGCCTCCACCATGCGAGTTAGTTGAAGTTTATATTCCTGTTTCCTAATTGTTGTCATTACTCCTATGCTTTTCGCCTAGTCTATTACTGTTGCCCATATGTATATCCTTGGTTCATTATTGCTACTTGCGTATTTCCTACTTGTCATTTCTGTTATCGACATTTCTGCCATCCGGTTGGTATTGTTATATGCATATTTGGTGAGGATGAGATGAATGTACGAAGGGTGTTGCCGTGCAATTGACTTGATGTACATTCCTCACGCTATGGAAGTTACGGAGTGGCTATCATGGTTACTGGTTCTCGCTCTAAGGAAAGATTGGTCGAGATACTGGAAAATGCTAAACTGTGATCTCTTCTAATACTCAGTTGTTGCTTTGTGTATTCGTTTTGTGTACCCTTTTCTGTTACATTGTAGCATTGTTCTATTGCTAGTTTATTGTACAGGTTATATCAGTGAGTATCTTTTAACTAAAAAGTCTCGTCACTGCTTCGACGAGGTTAGACAAGATACTTACTGGGTACATGGGGTCAGTTGTACTCATACTACACTTTTGCACCTTGCGTGCAGATTTTGGAGTGTAGCTGCTGGTGATGTAGCTGACTCTGAAGATATTCGTGCATTCCGGAACATGGATGCCACTTGTCCTTGGTAGCTTTAGATTTTGCTAATCTGTTTATGTAACTTTCAAACGGATTGTGTATTTATTTGTACCAGCTTTGTAAATTTTAAGTTCTTCGAAGCTCATGATTTGTACTACCAGTCCTTGGGTTACTAAATAAAAGTTCAGATAATTCTTCATTGTTTCCTATAAATCTCATTTGGATTGTATTGACTGTTAGTTGGCTTACCTAGCAGGTCGAGTTAGGTGCCATCACGACTAGTGGATTTGGGTCGTGACATATAGTCCAAGTAGGTTTTATGGTAATGGAATTTCTTATTTCATAAGAAAATCTAAAGTTCCTTCATTTATAAATAATTGGAAAAACAATATGGAATGTATTATAATTTGTTTTATTAATTCAAGTAAGTAAATAATTTATATAAGGTATTATAGTTATGTTATTAATTAATTGAATTTAATGTCCTAATATTAGTAAAAAAAATTCTAGTTCAAATAAGGCAATACTTACTAAGTAAGATTTTAGTTGATTTCGAGATCCTAAATAATAGGAAATTAGTTTAAATTATAATTTTGTCCAATATAAAATATATTTTTTAAGGGTAAAAAAGGCGAACGACATTTTGCTAAGTGTCTTCGTACTTTTAATATAATATAGATAGATATAGATAATGAGTAAATGTTAAAATCTACTTGGTCAAACCCAAGAGAGTTTATTTCTGGAATAACTGAAAGTAATTTCTTACTTGATGGAACATAAGCTATATAAGAATTTTTAGAAATTTGTACTCTCTCTAACCAAGAAAGAACATGAGAACTTATAACGTACATTAGCTGAATTAACCGGTGAATGAGAAAGAAATGCTGTTTCTCAAGCTTTGGCAAGAAAATACGTAGGAGAAAGAAATCGTTCTTGAACACTTCCTAAATCAATGGATATTATATGAGGTATACTTTCTTGAAAATTGACTGGATATTATGAAGCTCTCAAATACTACTGATATTCATGATTGATTGTTTGATGTTCACAAATGCATGAATCATCATGTATTGTTTAATGATTTTAAAATGGAGTTTAAAGAGTATCGTAATATTACGAATAATGGGCATAGAAATTCTTCCGGTTTTTTTCAGGGATAGCAGTGGGGCGGTGCAGGTGCGAGGCGGAACGGATTTGAACCTATGCTGGGCATGGACTGATCCACGTGTATGACTATGGGTGCTCAAGCACCCACCAACTTAAGTTGAAACTCTAATAATTATGTAGAGATTCCATACAAATTTAACATAGTTGGTACATTAGCACCCATTAACATGAACGATCGCTAGGTGCATTGGTTCCGGAGTCACTTTTATTATCCAAGGGCACGGGTTCATTCCTCTTTTGAGCAACATCAGTAATTTCATATCGACACTTATACAATTTTTTTGGTCAACGTGATCTGATTTTTTTCTCAATTTTTCATTTTTTTTAGCCTATAAATTTTAGTACCATCTTCCACGTTACACTTTCTTTCCTGTTCTTACCTCCCCATTCATCTCAATTTTATTCCTTCCTCTCTATTTATCTCTTCTACTTTCGCTCAATTTATGTTGAATTTGGCCAAATAATATTTTTATATTTCTGTTCTTTTTTAGCTCCTTAAAAAATTAAGTTCATACGTGAATAAAAACAAAAACTAATTAATTATTATCTAACTTATGCGAAAATAGTTCTGAAGCTAGGTTTGCAATTTAATACCTAAGAATCTTTTATCCATTATATTTGCATTTCTTCCTTAATTACTTTGACTAGTGGGTTAATAGTTATGCTGATTTGATCTTAAAATAATTTTTAAAACCATTTATTTTCTAAATTGATTAATACACTCCAATTACTTACTTTAAGCTTTTATTTAAAAAATTAAAAAGCTAATAGTTGAAGATAGTATACGAAGATATCAAAGCATCTCGTGAATTTGGATATTATATTATTATATAAAGTATCTTACACCCACTTTTAACATGTTAAAATATTCAAAAATCCGTATCAATCCCCTTTCTCTGTTTTGATGGTGTATATAGAATACTAGATGGGATTGGCCCGTGCAAGCCCGGGCCCAACACTTTAGGTTATAGCATGTTTTTACCCGCTCAAGCAGTAAGATTGTGCTAATACCACGATGGATATAGATAGAGAAAATCTCACTTTATACCCATTAATCCTAAACTATTTACCCTTTAATGCTCAGGCCTAAACTATTTACTACTCTTACCCATGGGGCCCAAACTAGTTACCCGGTATTTTCCTTGCCAACCATCTTTCTTTCTGCTATCGTCCAGTTTATGCATTAGAAAATTGTTCTTTTCTTGAAATTTTATGACAGATTATGTTTTCAAGAATTCAACATTCTAAGTAGAGTAGATAGATATTCACCCATTTTGCTTCCAACTCGTGAGATACCTACTCAATGTTTTTGGACTCTGATTACTATGGCCTTAAAGACGGAGAGAGGGGCATGCTTGACTCTTTAGGAAGTATAAAATTTTTGAAAGAATGAAGTGCGGGGACAACAGTGAACGTGACGAATGAAGAAATCATTGATATTCCAATTTAGATTGCTTGATTGTTAGCTGCTCATCCTTAGAGTTTAGATTTCATTTTTCTATTCTTAGAGTTCAGTACTTTTGGTAAAACTTGAGTGCATTTACAAATTCCCTTAGGAATCTGATCATCCATTCAGCTGTGAAACCCCTTCCTCCACTCATGCTTGTTTTTCCCCCTCTTTTTTTATTTATTAAGTTTGTCCTTTTGTGTTTGATGAGTGCGAAAAATCGTAGTATGGAACTTATATCCTTAAATTTAGTTTTGTTCTTTTATGCTAAGAAAGTTATACAAATTGCAATTATTATTTATTACCTTAACCATATTCAAAGTGAGTGTTGTTAAATATTGCTTATAGTACCTTCTGGAAGTTCATAATGAAATTTGATAGCATTTGGAGCTGATTTGAGGTGATTGAGATCGAAATTTTCAGTTAAAAATCCAAGAACACAACTACAGTATACCGCTACGGTATACAATATGCCGTATGAGTATATAGCTATACTGCAACAGTATATTATTATAGTTTACAATATACTGCAACAGTATATTGTAATAATCGAAGAAGAACACAGTTATCTAACAGTATATCGCTACAGTATATAATATACTATTATAGTATACAATATATTATTATAATATACTATAATAATATGCAATATACTGTAACAATATGCTGTAATAGTATACAATATACTATAATAGTATACTTATTACACGTAAATTCACTTGCCTTTTTCTTTTTAATTTGCTTTAAGCTTTTACCCAGCGTGAGGGGCAAATTGAAAATGCAAGAAAAAATATTATAGTATGATATATAATGTAACGGTATACTCTTACAATTAGATCCTTTTATAATTTTTTGAAATTTTTATTGACAACTGATATTATTTCAGTTTAATAATTGAATTAAATTTTAGTGTTGTAGGGNATTTAGAGTCGCCTTGACTTGCGTGCGCAGTCCGGGCGCTTAGCCGGAAAGCTCAAATATGAAAATGTGTGAAAAATGATAAAATTTGATTATAATATGAGTTAATTTGATTTTTCTTTAGTAATAATATATAAAAAAAACAATAATAAGAAAATAGTGAAAACAGTAAATGAAATTAGATTATGAAGAGAAAAAGAATATAAAAAAAGAATTTAAATGAAATTAGATTATGAAGAGAAAAAGAATATAAAAAAAAGAATTTAAATGAAATTAGAAAAGGAAAAAAGCAAAAAAATAAGAAGAAAACGAGAAAAAAGAAAAGGAGAAAAGAAAAAAAAAGAAGCATAGAAATAAGAAAGAATTGGAGAATAAAGAAAAAATTTCCCACAAAACCTACTATGGGTAGGAAATGTAATTAGTTTATGAGCAGAAAAACAAATGGGTAGACAAGGGTAAAAAATTTTATTTTTGTGGGTAACTGTGTCAAAACCCCGCTATGGCTGAACAATAATATTGGGGCCGACCTTTGTACAATAGAGAAAAAAATTCCAACATATTTAATTCATCATTTACATTCTATGATTCACTTTACAATGCCAACAGACTTAACCATGGAAATTCAAAAGCTACACGTATTTGTACTCATCTGGAGAACATCTGGAAAAGGTATAATGTACCAAATCTAATTCCAATAGATCTCCACTCTCCTGTATTCCAACATAAAGAATTCGCGTAAATCGGTTGCCAAAAGAAACTCTTGTTCTGCAAAGTAGATATTGTACACATCAATATGGCGAAGCTTTGGGATACAACAGCTAATAGTAGTATCATAGGTGCAACATATGTATTCGGGGATAAGCAGATTATAAGTCAGAAAAGTGTGTTCTGACGTTAGAAGTTAGGAACCAGCGTTGCCCTTCTATCAGTAAAATTTACTCCTGTAAAAAGTGAGATTCCATTTTGATTAGGTCGTACCTTATCTAACTTCTAAGTTAAACATCTAAGTAAGACACAAGACATATTTTATAGACTGAATTCCTAACATAGATATTTCTTTGTCATAACTTTGGGACAACAGACATAAATACAAATAAGGACAGTTTCTCTCCGTATTGGCTACTGTTATCACTTTCCGCCACAAGAAACATTTCCAAAATTTGATCAGGAGAATCTAGGGAGCCAGGCGCAGGTAATTCTCTTAGTTAAGAAGAAAATGATTTAAGGCTATAAGCTTCATCTAATCATTGTACTGCTTCCCTTTTTTCTCACAGCTCAATATGATACCAGAAAGAGTATACAGCAGGTAGATAACGACACAAACTAAACTATTATTCTGATCATCTCATATTCTCATTAACTTACTAGTTATGTACAATTTTGCTCATTTTACTACAACGAGAAAGATAAATTCTATTTTTTAGTCAAATGTATTATCTGTTCTAACAATAGCCTCATCTTCTCTCTTGGAGTAGAAGGAGAAAACAATATTGAAGTATCTTATTCATAATTTTTCACTTTAACGTTCTGTTTTCTTCTTTTCCAGATTGAATCGTAAATTGCAGTTACAATAGGTTTGAAAGTTCAAGTGAGACAAACTTGATTGTTAAATCTACATTATTTGGGTTGATTTTTTTATTTATCAGCAACAATATAAAATAAAGTCAAAGATGCAACATATTCTCAGTAGATAATCATGATCTCGTAACATAGATCCTTCCAAATTAAAATAACTTTAGTACTCAGAAGAATCAGTCGCTATCAAAGTTATACACACAATAATACATTAATAAGAAACTGAGTAAGATTCAACACATAATGATCATCACTAAAGAGTGAAAATTCATCGTAAAGCACATTACCAAATAAAAAATAAAAAAGTACAAAGTTATCTGTAAAGCAGAGATCCAAAGCAGAGAAAGTAGCATGAACCTAGGTGTTCTGATTTTTTTTTTTTAGTTTCATTATTTTTTTAAATGGGATAGACTATCTTGTAAGTTCATAACTTAGCCAAATATATTATTTGATTATCCGCGTTGAAGAGATATATTTTTCAGCTGATTCAATACAGTATATTATGGGATTCTGTCCAAAATTTTATTTTGGTTTTACCTCACCCATCACAACATCTTTCTTGGACAACCCCATAATATCTGATAGCCACAAGTTGAACTTCTAATATAGTGGATGTGTTATTCTCTTTTTTCTCTTTTTGGTCTACGTGTTTTTATCTATCAAGTTGTTCTCTTTTTTACGCTTTCAGTCTACGTGTTTTTAACTACCAACTTGGTCTTTTAGGAAGACAAAAACTGAATTAAAATATTAGTCCAATACAAAAATAGCAAAAGAAGTTAAATATCAGATATGACAAAGCCCAAAAAATTTTGAGTAACACTCCTACAAAACTTAGTTCCCTGTATTTTTTATCACCATTCCACAAGATATAAGATGAAGAGGTAAAGCACATATATTTCTGCAAATGAAGCATAACTAATTATTTGTCATAGCTTCCTTTTGATAAGAACCAATTAATTGCCAAATAAGTTGACAGAGAACAACGCTGATAAATGAAGCAGCTTAAAAATGGAGTAGACACAAGGTCTTCAAATGTAAGTTTTTGATCCTTACGTCATGGGTGACCAAATAGAACATTCTATCACCCAACCGCCCCTCAATTCTGATATAACCTTGTATTTATAAAGATCCAATTCATGATTTCATTGGGAAAAAGCTGAAAATTTGACAAAAAATACCTTAAAAATAGAAGGAGAAATTGTGCAGCTAGCGAATCGAACATCAATTTCAATTCTTCCAGTTTTTCCTCGGAGAACGTGCTACAAAAGAATATCAAATTCGTTTTGAATTCAAACTGATCAAAAATATTTAAGTGGGTAATCAGTTGTAGTGTTAAGAGAAACTGGCACCTCATAGCTAAAGCAAATCGCAGATTCATAGAATAATTGAGATTGAATAATTCTACATGTCAATACTTGAGTTATGGAGTTTAATTCTTTATTAACATGGACATGTTATGAGAAAATTATCGGTCTGCCTGCAAATCTTGAACAAATTTAAATATGTAACCTTGAAAATATAGGGAAGAGTTTCTTATTTCAAATTTGCAATGATTCCAGTCAATTTCTCTTTGGCATGGATATTGCCTCATTGGCTTTTCCCCCCCAATAATCTACATAAAGGATCTAATGTCTGGCATATGCAGCAAAACCATATGACGAAAGAATTATTCTATCTACTTTGAGGTCGGATTCTGATTCGTCAATTTTTTTTCTCCATAATTCATTCACAAGTTCTTTTACTTTTCATGCCATGATCAAATAAAAATATTTATGACTAACCAATACCTTCAATTAAGCCATTCATAGCAAATTCGCCTGCACTGCCAAATTCACTATTAACACCCAATAACCCCAGTAATACCTAACACTTAGAGTTCTTAAGTTATCCATAAAACTCATGATTATCGTCCCCAAATATATTCTGTGGACTAAATCAAACTACAAAATATTTACCTTGGGATGGGTAAGTAATTGGAGATGGCAATTTCATAAACACATAGCAGGCCAACTAAAAACAAAGTTGACCAAAAGAAAAAATTTGAGATCTAGCAAACAATTGGTTTTAAACCCGAAGTAACGCGTGAACAAAGCAGAGTGGTAAGAGTAAGAGATATTGTTCAAGTCAGTGACCCAGGTTTCTTACACAATGACCTTCGATTAATCGTTGATGTCGAAATCGATAAATTTGAGATAAAACGAAATCTGAAGATGAAACAGAGAAAGAAACATGATGAACAAGATGAAACTTAGAATTGTGGCTCAAATGTAAGAAAGTCAGAGGCTCATGTATTCTGAAATCCCTAATTTAAAAATGACAAAACCTTCAAATACAAACAAAGATAGAAAATTGTCGGATAATTGGCGGAAACCCCAGTTTCTATTCAAGCTGTTCTCTGAGTTTCACAAACAACAAAAATTTGAAAAACAAACCAAGAAGAACCCTGAAACAAAATAATCATATAGAATAGTAAAACTAACCTTTCAGCCATATAATTATCTTGGTGGAGCAAATGTGAAACTGTGAAAAACTCAGCAAAAACCTCAATTTTCAGTCAAAAATATTACTTTATATTCCAGAAATTGGGATTCAATTTATGAAAGCAAAAAGCACCGTCAAAATCACAAGGGTTAAGCGAGTAAGAAGGAGAAGATGGGCGAATTTTGCAGAAAGCAAGATGGTGAAGCAGAGCAAAATTATGGTATTACGATAAAGCAGAGCAAAATTAAGCGGTGACAGTGGATTGCGAAATTACCTAAGTAGTCTTTCCTAAACAACAAAATTCACTTAGTGTAGGGACACAACAGGAATTTTGCCTATTATAGGGCACTGCAAATACGAAATTGCCCTCCGTCGGCAAGTAGGGATGTCGACGGAGAGCAGCTTGTGCGCTCTTCTATATAAGCTAGATGGGATTGGCCCGGGACACTTATGGTTATAGCGTGGTTTTATCCGCTCAAGCAGTAAAATTGTGCTAATACCACGATGGATATGGATATCCCTATGGCTGAACAATAATATTGGTGTCGACCTTTGTACAATAGAGAAAAAAAACTCCAACATACTTAATTCATCATTTGTATTCTGTAATTCACTTTACAGTGCCAACAGACTTAACCATGAAAATTCAAAAACTGCACGTATTTGCACTCATCTGGAGAGCATCTAGAAAAGGTATAATCTACCAAATCTTTTCAACTTATTAATCCCAGTCGATGTCCACTCTCCTTTATTCCAACCGAAAGAATTCGTGTAAATCGGTTTCCAAAAGTAACTCTTGTTCTGCAAAGTAGATATTGTCATTCACATCAATATGGCGAAGCTTTGGGATACAACAACTAATAGCAGTATCATAAGTGCAACATATGCTTTTGGGAATAAGCAAATAATGAGTCAAAAAAGTGTGTTCAGAACTTAAAAGTTAGGAACCAGCGTTACACTTCTATCACTAAAATCTACTCCTGTAAAAAGTGAGATTCCATTTTGATTAAGTAGTACCTTATCTAACCTCTAAGTTAAACATCTAAGTAAGACACAAGACATATTTATATCTAACATAGATATTTCTTGAAAATAACTTTGGGACAACAGACATAAATACAAATAAGGACAGTCTCACTCCGTATTGGCTACTGTTCTCGCTTTCCGCCACAAGAAACATTTCCAAAATTGGGTCAGGAGAATCTAGAGAGCCAGCCGCAGATAATTCTCTTCAGTTAAGCTTTAATAAGAAGGCAAATATATCTGAAACTTAAAACTCAAACCAAATACTATCTAATCATTGTAATGCTTCCCCTTTTTTTCTCACATTTCAATATGATATGACAAAAAGAGTATACAACAGATAGATAACGACATAAAATGACAAGTCAAACAAATTTATCAACAGCAAGTTGGTGTTGTGGGATTTTTTATCCGTATGCATCTGCATGCTAATCAATTTATACATTTTCATCATCACATCTCTAACAACGACTTCATGCGGAAAGATATGCAAACACAAAGATTTACAGGTCAAAAACTAATCTATTGTTCTGATCATCTCATATTCTCATTAACTTACTGCTGATGTACAATATTGCTTATTTTACTACCACGAGAAAGACAAATTCTATTTCTTAGTCAAATGTTTTATTATATTTTCTAATAATAGCCTCATCTTCTCTCTTGGAGTAGAAGGAGAAAACAATATTGAAGTATCTTAGTCATAATTTTTCACTTTAATGTTCTATTTTCTTCTTATCCAGACTGAATCGTAAATTGCAATTGCAAATTTACAATAGATTTGAAAGTTCAAGTGAGACAAACTTGATAGTTAATTCTACATTACTTGGGTTGATTTTTTATTTATCAAAATAATATTAGAAAATGGCAGAGATGTAACATATTCTCAGTAGATAACCATGATCTCGTAACATTAGATCCTTCAAATCGAAATAACCTCAGTACTCAGAAGAATCATTCGCTATTGAAATTATACACACAAAAATACAATAATGAGAACCGAGTAAGATTCAACAGATAACGATCATCTCTAAAGAGTGAAACTTCATCGTAAAGCACATTGCCAAATAAAAAAATAGAAAAGTACAAAGTTATCTGTAAAGTAGAGATTCAAAGCAGACAACATAGCATGAACCAAGTTGTTCTGATTTTTTTTTTTTGTTTTCATTTCATTCTTTTTTTAAATGGGATAGACTATCTTGTAAGTTCATAACTTAGCCAAATATATTATATAATTATCCAGGTTGAAGAGATATATTTTTCAGCCGATTCAATAAAGTATATTATGGGGTTCTGTCCAAAATTTTATTTTGGTGTTACCTCACTCATCACAACATCTTTCTTGGACATTCTCATAATATATGATACCCATGAGTTGAACTTTTAATATACTTGCTTTGTTACTCTCTTTTTTCTCTTTTCGGTCTACATATTTTTAACTACCAAGTTGTTCTCTTTTGTCTCTTTTTAGTCCACGCGTTTTTAACTACCAAGTTGGTCTTTTAGCAAGACAAAACTGAATTAAAAAATTAATCCAACACAAAAATAGCAAAAGAAGTTAAATACCAGATAAATATGTCAAATCTCAAAAAAGCTCGAGTAACACTCCTACAAAATTTAGTTTCCCTGTGTTTTTTTTATCACCATTCCACAAGATATAAGATGAAGAGGTAAAAGCACATATATTTCCGCAGATAAAGCATAACTAATCATTTGTCATAGCTTCCTTTTGAAAAGTAAGACCCAATTAATTTCCAAATAAGTTGACAGAGAACAACCCTGATAAACGAAGCAGCATAGAAAATGGAGTAGACACAAGGTCTTCAAATGTAAGTTTTTGATCCTTACGTTCTGGGTGACCAAATCAAATATTCAATCACCCAATGTGATAACACAAAGGTTGGAGATCCAAGAACTTGAAGAAAATAAGTTGATGAAATGCGGAAGTAGTAAAGAAATGCAAGCGGAGCAAGAAAAATAAACTAGATATGTCGAAATTCGAGGAAAGGTCCAAGAACCCCGAGATTATGTTAATCTAGATTTTGACAAGATCCTAATGACAACAAGTTGGTTATGAAACCAATTGCTTTCACTAGAGATAAGCTAATCAAGAACTTGATTCGGATCTTGACTTCTAGTTTGAATAACTTACGACAACAACTAGTAAAAGAAACTAGTCGCCTTCGAAGAATATCAAAAGAAACCAAAGATATCACAAGAAAGAAAATTATCTTACTACCTTAAACTATGAACTAGTTAGGGTTGCAAGATAAATCTTCAAAGTAAAGTTCACAAAGGTTCAAAAGAACTCACAATAATAATATTAATCTTCAATGCTCTTCTACAATGGAAGACAAGCACCCCTTTATATAGTAGTAAAGAAGGAGCTAGTCAAGACTTCAATAAATGAGAATTATATTCCCTAGAAGCATAGAAGACTAACCACACTAAGACCAATGTAGTCAACATACATATAGGCCAATGCAAGTCAACATAGATTAAAACAACTATTAAATATATATTCTAGAAACTATTTTTGGGCTTATTTGGGCTGCTGAAAATTCCTCTCTTTTGGGGCATATTTGGGCCTCATTCCATCTCCTCTTGGACTTTAATTTTGGCCTCAAAATAGTTGTAAGACTTGGCCCAAAGATCCTCCTTGTGCTGGAGCTCTTCTTCTATTATAAAACACTTTTTAATTGCCAATTGAAGCCCATTAAGCTTGTCTTGAAATTCTTTGTTTGAGACCTTGTCATGGGCCTTCTTGGAGCTTCCAGAGCTTCATCCTTCTCCTTTAATGATGTTGAGCTACCATGAATGCTATCACTTTGCTCGTTTGCTCTTCTCCTTATATTCAACACTATCCCATATTGCTAAAAATTTTATCCACACATCTTCTCTTATCCAACCAGGCTTCTTATTCTTGTCTTGAGCTTCATACAATGAACTTGGAATCAATTTTTTTGCTTTCTTCTCGTAGACATATTCCCACAGACACAAAGTCTGGAAAATAATTAAATAAAGTAGAGTGAAATTGGATATTTGATATATAATTTAAAAATAAGATTTATACGTACCCTAAACCGATTCCACATTTTATCTCTGATATCATATGGAGTCTTTCCATCTACCCCAAGCATCATCGTAAAATGGCTTCATAGACTCTGTAACCATATGCGCGACAGCAAATGAAGGGAAAAACCTGCATTAAAATTAACATACGTAAATTGTATATTCAACAGAATAAAAATAAACATAAGGATTACTTACCCATCTTTCTCATCCGGAACGATAATCAGCCTACTATATGCATCATATTGTAGAGTCACTTTACCACGTTGACCCCGAGAAGCTGCTGGTGTAGCACTACCAATGGACGGTGTTGTTGATGTGCCAGAGACTCCAATATTTAACATAGATACGCTAGGTGTGCTTGATGCCGGAGATGCAGGTATTTTTGCACCCGATAGTGGGTTTTGACTGAGCGGAGGCAGATTTATCGGAGTTAGCAAGGTGACTGCCAGCGTTCGCAGCACCGTTTTTCTCCCTTTGTTTATCAGTCCTGTTTCGTATATTTTAGACCTTGTAGTTGTATTTATACTCTAATAGATGCTCGTGACTTGTGACACCCCGGTTTGGGCTGTGTCGGGTTGTACTTCCGCTAATTATTATCATTAAATCATATTTAAACTGCTTATGAACTGTTTGATTGTTTTAAAAGGATGAATCGGGTTTAGTTGGCTGGCCTTGTCCCCACGAGAGGCGCCATCACGACCGGGTCTGGGTTTGGGTCGTGACAAGTTGGTATCAGAGCCTAGGTTACATAGGTCTCACGAGTCATGAGCAGGTTTAGTAGAGTCTCGCGGATCGGTACGGAGACGTTTGTATTTATCCTCGAGAGGCTGCAGAACCTTTAGGAAAAACTTCCCATTTTTGAATTCTTATCGTGCGTCCTTGATTCAGCTTGAAAAGTAACTCTTGAAATTCCTTCCACGTGTTCGCATGCGCGCATGAACGCTTAGTATCAGATGTGCCTTGATGGCTTGAGATTCCCCGATCGAGGGGCGAGATGTGATCTCTGTGAGTTTATGTTGGGCCATTCTAGAGGACTTGAGGCCGGATCTTTGCCCATGGCTTGAGCACCGAGGTGCTGATTGTGTGAACAAGTGTTTTTGAACTTATACGTTTGGTAGTGTCCCTGTTAGTGGAAGTGACGGCTGTGGCAATGTGATGAGTATGTTAGTACTGCGAGGTTTATCCATATGATTTGGAAGCGATAAGAAGGATCTGCTGAATGATGGAAGAACTATTAGATGCTTGAAGTCCATCTCGATTCGAGGTATAGCCCGAGTTATGGGCGTGTGAAGAATCTTTCCATGTTCCTAGTTGGTAGTGAAATAAATTCATGTTGCGGTATGAGTCCAGACTCAGGAAGATCAAGTGACTGCGTAATGCTTGTTACGGTGGAAGGTATACAGCAATGTTAGTTGGAGGCAAAGCAGGTGGGTTATCTCCTGCGGAGTGTTCTAAGGTTGTGTGATCCTTATGTTGTCTATTAGAAGATCTCATCTACAAGTGAAGAATATGTGTTGAAATCTAAATTGGGTCGCCTAGAGAGTGAGCTTGACTGTTGTGAGGGTGAATGCGAGATTTGCAGAAGATTTAAAGTACCAGATGGTCCGTGTTTCGCGAGTTTATGAAGGATTGAGTTTAATCTCACTATGATATTATGGCAGCAATAGAATATATGCGTTATGAGTTATTGGGTGTGTTTTGATCTATGGCTTCGAGCCAAGTGGGGGAGTTTGCTATCGATTAAGCTGATTGCACGATTAGGTGCTATGTTGGTTCCAGTTTGAGGCGTGTTGGTGAGTCAGTGATGGCTCACGGAGATTGAAGTCGAGGATGGCTCGAGTAAAGGAAAATTTTGACAAGGTTATATGGTGCTTTGTAGGTGTGTGAGAATCACAAGATGTCTTAAATTGTTGTTGGTAAAGAATGCTCGGTGCATAGAGCAGGAAGATGCTTGTTTGTATTGGGATGAGGTCGTATCCGTGCGATGTCAGAGTGCTAATGAGGCATGGGTGGTCCTATTCATTTGATCAGGCTAATTGCAGTGTAAATAGAGTAAATGACTCTCGAGAATGGTTCTAATGTGTTCGAGATTCTACATGTAACAATCAGGTGTCTTAAAGTTGTACACGTGGTTAGAAAACTGAGTTTTTATTGGAAGAGGTCAAGACTTATGGTGTTTCTATGTTAATTATGGGATCCTATGTATCAGTATCAGGAAAGTAAAGGTAACGGATTTAGATTCGCAGGAAGTTCTTTAGAGTAATGTATTCTGGAATGTGGTGATTCTGGGAATGTTTAAGAAAGTATTCAGCGACGTATGAGCCTTAGATGGTGTGGCTTTATGCTTGGTTCCGCGTGGTAAGTCTGAGTTGAGGATTGTGGTGCTACAGCAAAAAGGAAATATCAAGTTGAATATGAATCAGAAGGAAATTTAGATAGATAGGGTAATTTGGTAGTAGACCGGACCAGTATGGTAAGGATATGATTAATTCCTTGTGTGTGTTCGAGGTGATGAGTTCTTACAAGTATTTTGCAGCAATGCTCTTAGGTTTTGATGGCTTGCTTAGCTTGGTCGAGTTAGAAGAATTCAGTCCTGGCAGGTNTAGTCAAGGGTAGTTTAGGCACTTAAAATGGGTTAATTTGTTAAGGCTTGGTAATTTCAGAACTCAAGAAAGGGTAATACAGGTATTCCACAGGTAGAAAACACCCTAGATCCTTCTAGAAGGGGGTCTTAGTGTAAGTTTCAGGACTTTTAGAGCAGTAGCTTAAGCAACAAGTCAGGACTTTAGGACTATTTGGGCAAAACTGAAAATAAAAAGAGGGGAAAAATGGGTAAGGACATCTAGAAGCTTCCCCCCCTGAAGTTTGCCTATAAAAGGCAGCTTATTTGCCTTCATGAACAAGTTTGGAGCCTCAAAATTCCCCCCAAAATATTCTCCAAACTGCCTAGATCTGAAATTCAAATTTCAGACTCCCTTAAATCTTAGGCTTCTCAAATTTTCAGAAAAACAACAGAAAAGTCAAAAAAACAAGTACTGTTACATCGATTTCTCTGGACTGATTTTGAATTTTAATCACTGATTTTCATATTTTAGCACAACTACAATCACTGAAGTTTCAGAGTGTTCTGGATCCCAATTTGAATGAGTTTTTGGGTATATTTGAGCTATTTGGTTTGATTTTGAGTTGAAACTGGTCAGTCGAGTCTGTTTTGGATATTTGCTGTTGCTGTTGTCTTACAATTCATTCCGAGCTGTGTTTGAGTGTGTTTCTGGGTGGAAATTGGGCCTGTTGAGATTAGCTGTTGATTACTGCTGCTGATTCCATTTTCTCCTTCATTTGTCTTCCTTCTCAGGTACTTACTCAATCTCCAATGGCCAAAAAAAAAAAACTCAGGAAACTTGTAACTGAAGTTTTGTTGAAATAAAAGGCTGATTTAAGCGCTTGAATTGTTTAGACTTCTATTCGTTCATATATATTTTTCATATGACAGTTTGCTCATGTTAATGCTTATGTACACATTAGTTTACATGCTAGATCGTGTAGTAGCAGCATTTGACACTTGATGACTTAGGACTTCTGATAATTTGTAATAACAGGACTGTAATAGACTTTTAGATTGTTAAGTTTGGAATGGCATTAGCTATAGTAGAATTTAGTTCGTCAGTTTAGTTTAAATGTTTTGAGCTAGAAAATAATCTGAAACTGGAAATTGATTCGAGAATCTGTGATATGCACTTGTGTTAACAATTGAATGTTCGAGTTGCTAGAATGAAATTAAATTCAAAATCGATTGAGAGTTGGTATTAGTG